CCACTCTTCCCCCCCTCCTCCCGGCAGGGATGCTCAGTTCACTCGGGGGCCTCAGCGATGGCCTTCTCCACCCGCAGGTACCAGGGCTGGATGTGAGTGTGACGCATCAGGTCGTCGAAGGCCTCCAGACCCTCCATCACACGCAGCACACCGTACACTGCCTGGGGGAGGGGGGGCGGGTACAGAGCGGGTGTCCACGCCTGCCCCGCCCTCTGCCCGGTGTGTGCCCTGGGCCCATCACCTCCCCTTTCTGGGAGCCCCGTGACCCACTGACGGGCCAATTTTGCACGCGGGGCTTTGAATGAAGCGTGTGGGTTGGCTGTAGGATTCGGGAAGAGGGGACCCCACCACTCGCTCCAAGACCAGAGCCTTGCAATCGATATATCCTACCCTGGCTGTAGGACTGCTTCAAGGATTGCCATTGAAGTCAGGCCAACAAGACACTGTCCCAGGAATTTTGCTGGGCAGAAGCCTGGAGTACTCGTTTTCCTTAAGCCCTTGACAACCGGTGGAGGCAGATGCCTCTGGGATGGAGGAGCTGTGAGACGTAGGTATTGCCTGCCTGGGCCTCCCCCACCCCAAGCACAGACCCTTTGGTCTGTGCACCCTCTGCCACCACTACACTCACCAGATCAGCCAGGTTCGGCTTCTGGCCCCCCATGAAGGGCCGGTCTTTGCCCACAGCTGCCACCCACTTGTTGGCAGCCTCGTAGAGATCCTCACGCACGTCATCCTGGAGGTGGTGCCTGGGTAGGAATGGGGGAAGTCCATCAGGGGAACTCCGAAACCTGGCACAGGTGGGGGTAGCGAGAAGGCCCGGGGGCCAAGGCTACTCCAGGGGGTGGAGCGGGACAAGAGACTCAACCATGGAGAGGGAAACAGAGGAAGGTACAAGGCAAGGACCCAGCTCTGGACTCCCAGGCCAGCCCTGCTTCCCCTGGGCTGGGGGAGGCAATCAGGGGTTCTGGGTTTGAGTCTCAGCTTGGCTAACGCTGGGGACTTGGGGATGGCAGGCCCCCAGGTGCATGCGCACATGAGCGCATGCGCACACACGCACACATGTGTGCACCGTCACCTGCTCTTGAGCCGCTTGCTGATGAGGTACATGGCAGCTGCGCCCACGTACTTGGCCATGGCGCCCTCCACAGTCCCGAAATTGCCCTCCTTGACAATGTAGTCAAAGGAGGCCAAGGCTTCGGTCGGCGTGCGGTACACATTGGGGGAGATGAGGTGCACCAGCCAGTCGTCTGCCCACTGCCGCCACGTCATCTCCTCCCTGCGGGCAAGGGGGGACAGAAGGCGGCCCAGGTGGGCTCCCTGAGCCAGGGCCTGGGAGGTGGGGGAGCAGATGCACTATCTCGACAGCCCAGTGTACGGACGGGAGCAGGAGGTCCGCAGGAGAGTCAGTCACGCCCGTGGCTCAGCCCCAGCCCTCGTGGTCTCCCATGCTGCTCCCCGCTCACAGCATCTCGCGCAGCCTGGTCCCCTCTGGGGAAGACCAGCACCTCCCCACATCCCCAGGGCCGGCCCCGGCCCCACTCACGTCCTGGCCTCCTTCCCACCATACATCCGCTGGGCCTCCTTTTCATCCAGCATGAGCCAGTACTTGTTGCAGAATTCGGTCACCTCCTTGCCCTGGTCGTTCACAGCCTTCATGGGTGGATAGTAGGTGATGATGTCTTCGAGGGGCTGCCTTTGGGAGATATCCAGAGCCTCACCCTGACTCCCTCTTCCTCCAGGAGACTAAGCCCTCACCTCCTTGGGATGAATATCTACCCCAGCCTGATCCAGCCCCAGGACTGACCCACAAAAGCTTCCCCACCCTCCTGTGGGTGACACAGGAGGTCCTGCAGCAAGAGGGACTTGGGGCAGATACCAGAAGCACTTCCCCAACAGAGGGAGATGCACGGAAGAAGGGGGAGTCTCAGTGTGGTGCCCGTGGCCCATTCTGGAAGTCTAAGCAGCAGCCCCACCCCACTCCCATGCAGGAACCTAGGGGAGGCCTCCCTGAGATAGGAGACGGGATGAGATGCAGTGCCAGCCTGGGCCTCAGGGGCTCCTTACCCCGACACCAGGTAGGTCTTGAGGGCACTGATGATGACAGAGGAGTCGTTCAGTTGTTGCTGGAGAAGAGGATGGTTTAGATCAAGACTGTGGGGGGCGGGGGGTACTGGCTGACTGGCCACTGGCAGGATCACCAGGGGCTCTTAATCCTGACACCCAAGCTCTCTGCAGAAGCTGGTCGGGTGGAACCTGGGCACTGTTTGTCTGTCCCTGGAGGTTCACCCCTAAAATCGATGCCCACTGAGCTTTCCCTTCCCCCAGGACCCACTCCCCGCCCTCAGGGAAGCCTGTCCTGAGTAAGGGAGACCCAAGTGTGGCTAATGGGGAGGAGAATGTGGGGAGACCCAGGATCTGAGCCCCGCCCACTCACCCGCTTGGCCTCCTGGGCACTGAGGGGCCGGGAAGACTCAGAAGCTACGTACTAGGAGCCAAGCCCCACACCCTGGAGAGTGTGGTTCTCTGTTGATTAATGAAGCAAACCCAGAGGGGCTAAGCGACTGGCCCCAAGTCACACAGCCAGTGAGTGACAGAGCCCCCACCTCGAACCCAGACCACACTGACTTCGGAAGCCACGTTGTTAAGCTCTGTGGTCCTCTGTCTCCCTTAGACTCACGGGTTCATAATCCTCAGCCGAGGCCCAGAGAGCCCAAGTTCCTTCCAGGGCTTCAGAGCAGGGCCCAACTCGGGGGTATTCCAGGACAAGCCTGGACAAGGGGGCAGGTGGGGGGAGCTCCCCAAGGCTCACCAAGCTGTCTCCTTCCTGGGCCAACAGGATGGGCACCTTCCTGTAGGAGGAGAACCTGATCTCGGCCCTGCGCACAGGGTTCACCTCCACCACCTGGTAGGGCAGGGCGTGGAAGTCGAGGAAGGCACGGACCTTGCTGCAGAAGGGACACGTTTTGTACTGGTACAGAGTCAGCTGCAGGCGGCTGGACACGGAGAGCTGGATGAGGAGCAGAGGAGGGCGCTTCTGAGGGCCTGGTGCCCAGGCCCCGCCCCCAGGTCCAGGCCCCACCCCCAAGCAAAAGTTTCCCAGGAGAGTTTTCTAGGATGACCTGAGAACTTCAGGAGAAATGGGGGATGGGTGACAGGGAGAAAGGGAGGTGGGCAGCAGGCTCCTGCAGTGGACAGCCAAGCGCCCATCCAGTGGGCTCCCCAGGTAGAAAGTCTGTTCTGTGTAGGAGGAATCTTCTCATCTCTATCCAACACTAGACAGACATCTCTCCTCTCCTTCCTGTCCCTAGGGAACTTCAGACACCGCCAGGTGTGCCCCCCCAGATGCAACTGTTTCAACTTGGGAGTGCCCACCCCAACCCCTTCAAGGGGTGTGGAGGCAGAGCCCAGCGTTTCCGAGCGGGGTCTACCTCAAATCTACAAGAGGGGAGCGTTATATCTGGGCCACTGGCCTGCATAGGGCAGGAGAACCTCACGTGAGCTTGCAGCATATTCATGTTTGAAAGCCACAGCTGCAGTACCGCTCCCCCATTGTTCAGAGATGAGAGACTGAGGCTGGGCCATGGAGGTGGGAGGGCAGGGAGACACGGAACTCCACTCCCCATCTACCGTTCCTGTTCCCATGGGTTCAGGAAAGGGACGCCTGTGGGTGTGTGTGTGTGTGGGGGGGTGCTGGTGCTGTGTACAAAGCACCGCAAGGGCAGCTGGGCCACCACCCGGCTTGGGGGACATACCCTTGTTTCTCCGTGTCTCAGGGCCTGGAGTCTAAGGGTCATCAGTTCCGTAAAAATACTAATAACAGTACTAATAAATACACAACTTCGGGATTTGGAGACAGTGGGAAGGACACGATAAAATGTTTGTAAAGCCGTCCACTGTACAAGAGGCTTTCCCTTTTCAGTGATCTCCAAATCTTTCCATCAAAAAGTCTTAAAACACGTTAGAAAAACGACTTTGAAACAACGAGAATTCTAGTCAGCAGGCATCAGTAGCGCCCCATTTCACAGATGAGGACGCTGAGGGCTCGAGGGCTTAAAACCAAGTCACTGGTCCAAGGTTAAGAGCGGACGGAGGAGGCGATTCCTGACACCGCCGGTTCCCAGAAGTCCCGAAGTTCGGCGCTGACCCGAACGCCCCTACCCAAGGCTTGGTCCGACCCGGGCTTACCTGCGCGGCTGAGCGGTCGGCACGGAGGTTCTGGGCGCGCAGGTGCCACCGTGCAGTGTGGTACAGCCCCAGGGCTCCTCCCAGGGCCAGCGCCGCCGCTCCCAGGAGCCGTGGGCCCCCCTTGCGGGTGGTGGCGGCGGGGCCCGGGCCTCCCGCCGCCCCGGTTAAGCCGGCCCGGCTCTGCGCGGGGAGTCCCAGCGCGGGGCGACCGCCCAACCTCCAGGTCAGAGCGAGCCCGCCGGGCCACAGCGCCCGCACAGCTTGGGCCATGTTTGCTCCGCCGGCGCAACGGGAGGGCGCGAGAAACAAAGATGGCCCGAGCTCAGGCTCCTCTTAAAGGAGCAGGTCTCCGGAGCCCCGCAGGTTGCCGGAGTGACAGTGATGCCGAGTGGGGTGGGCCAGCTCTCGTGGGACTGGGCGTGAGTCCTCGGAGCCCAGTTCCACACATCCGTCAGAGCCGAAGAAACACACCTAGGGATGTCTGCTAAATGCCCCGGCTTCTAAAGTGTAGATGTAACTGGTCTCGGTGGTGACCCGGAGACGAACGCAGGAACTCGGCCACGTAGCTCGCCATGTGGCCGTCAGCGTCATCCGTAATACGCACCCAATCGAAAGAGAGTGAACCCTTCAGACTATCAGGGAAAGCGTCACGGCATCGGGTCCATGAGACTCGCAGAAACCGCCCAGCCCGACCCACAGTAGGTGGACGTCCTCGAATCGGGCTTTTTCCGCCCTCCCTCACCGCTGCACCGTTTCTTCTGTGGCCCGAACCATAAAATTTTCCATACACACAGGGGGCCTTAGAAACCACGTGTCTCAGATTTATTTCGCCCACCCGAAGGCGCCGAGTCGCCGACCCGCAGGTCCCCAGCGGCAGGATAGGGCGGAGTGGGGATTCCAAGCCCTCCTGCCCCTCTGTCGGGCTCCTTTGCCCTAACTGAGGGCCCGAGGCTCAACTACCTAGGCTTCTCGGCGGGCAGCCCCGGGATGGCCCCTCCCGGCGGCCGGGAGAGGGGTGGGGCTCGAGGAGTGGACTGGGATCTGAAGGCTGGACAGATTGTGGGCGGGGCGAGGCGGAGTCTGAAAGCCAGGCGGGCGCAAAACTCCGCTCCCGGGATGAGGCGCAAGAGGTGGGCTGAGACAGGGACCAGGCTCTGAGTGGGGCGGGACGTGGGGCGGAGTCTGACAGCGGGTGGGGGCGGGGCCCGGGCGCGTTCAATTGTAGCACTCAGCCCAGCTGGTCCCGAGTTCCACCCACCGCCTCCACCTTCCGCCCTGTGCCGGCTTTCTGTGCTACAATCGCTGTGTCCCATCTTCGCGCTGCCCTTGCGGCGCCCGAGCCCACAATGTCGGGCCCCAACGGAGACCTGTGCATGCCGGTGGAGGCGGGCCCGGAAGGCGAGGACGACGGCTTCTTGGAAGCAGGTGACCCACGGGGGCTGCTGAGGCGACTTCTGCTTTCTCGGAGGTGCCCTCCTGCGAAGGGGAATCGGGGCCGGGATAGGGACCGGGAAGGAACCGCAGAGCCCTCCCATCCCCCCGCCCCAGGGTGGTTCCGGAGCAGCAAGCGCCGTCCGGAGGTTTGGGACGAGCACCTGCGAGCGGGTCCCTGGAAACCGCAGCCTTCGAGAACTGTGGGCGACAGGCCCCGTTTTACAGATGGGGAAACTGAGGCCGCTTCAGGTCACTCGCCCTTTGGGATTGGGATTTGCTCCAGACACTTCTTTCAGCCCCTGTGGAGATGGAGACTCCTAAGGGGCCGGGGCCGGGAGTGGACCGTCTTGGCTTGGCAGGAGGGGCTATCTGGGTGGGCGTGCCGCCCTGCTGAGTCAGCAACCCCAGGCACCTTTGCTGGTGTGGCCTGGAGCCCTGGCGAATGTGACTTGCTTACAAAGCAGGCTGTTGCCTACACAACACTGCAGGGGGTGGGGGTAGGGGGGGAAGGAGAGAGAACCATCAGCTCCCTTCTCCCCTTCTGGACCCTCAGTTTCCCCATCTGTAAAATAACAATAATGGTTAGTGTCTCCTGCAATGAGATCTGTCAGGATTAAATGGGGAAATGAATGGGGAGAGTCTGGAGGCTAGTGAGGCTGGGGTGTTTTAGAGACCCCTATTTTTTGCCCACCTGGCAGCTTGCTCCATCTTTGCTAAATACAGGAAGGAAACCCAATAACCCAATCCTCCACCAAAATACTTGGCAAATTCTCACTTTGTCTTCCTGGCCAAGATTGGGCAGGACGTAAGGGCAGGCCCATGTGTCTTGGCCTGCCAGCCGGTGCTCACTGCCCTGGGTCCTTATACGGCCTCTTCTTTAGTTCTTTGCAGCCAGGAACCTTCTGTCTGTGGCTGAGCTGGATGGATCCCTAGGCCCAAGTCTGAGCAAACCCTAGGGGTAGCTGTGCTGTTCCCTGTTGCTATGGGACATCTGGGGACAGGTGGCCAAGACCCAGGGTTCTCACACGGGAGAGAGGACAGAGCCTCTGTCCAGGCATAGCCCAGATCGTGCCAGCCCAGGAGCCCCATTCCAGGCTGTAGTTTCTGTGACCTCCCATTGGTATGTGACCCTACTAGCCAGTCTCTTGGGCACATGTCCCTCTGTGAGTCCATGACCTCACCCTCCTTGTTTTCCTTCACCCTCTCTTATGCGGCCCTGCCTCTTTTTTTTTTTTTTTTAATAAATGTATTTATTTATTTATTTTTGCTGCATGTAGGCTTTCTCTAGTGGTGGCAAGCAGGGGTTACTCTTCCTTGTGGTGCACAGGCTACTCATTGCAGTGGCTTCTCTTGTTGCAGAGCATGGGCTCTAGGTGCGCGGTCTTCAGTAGTTGTGGCTCGCGGGCTTCAGTAGTTGTGGCTTGCAGGCTCTAGACCACAGGCTCAGTAGTTGTGGCACATGGGCTTAGTTGCTCTGCAACATGTGGGATCTTCCCGGACCAGGGCTCGAACCCGTGTCCCATGCATTGGCAGGCAGATTCTTAACCACTGCGCCACCAGGGAAGCCCCAGCCCTGCCTCTTAAGAATTGGGTTCTTCAGGGTTCATTCTTGGACCCACTAGGCCCCATACACGTGGCCTCGGCCACCTCTTCCCTACCCTGGTTTCTGGTACCATCTGTGTCGTGAATGCCCAGCCTATGGTTTCAGGTCAACCCTATCCTGGGTTTACAACTGCCTCTGGGTCAGCTGGGATGTCCCGCAGGCACCCCACCCTCATCCTGGCATAACCACCCAATTGACTATCTTTCCCACCTAACCATTTTCACCTTTTCTGCTCCTGCCTCCGTCGTCAAGGGAGAACCCAAGAGTCCTGCCAACCTCTTCACCCTCCACGACTGCCCAGCCCCTGCTCTGCCACTCCTCCTGACCCCAGCACTCGCCCCTCTCTAACACCCCAGTGGGTTCTACCCAAATGTCCCACTGCCCCTTCATCTCACCCAAAACCTACTGAAGAGATGAATCTCAAAATAATTATGCTGAATGAAAGAGGCCAGGCAATAAAGCATATGTACTATTTGGTTCCACTTACATACAACTAGAAAATGCAAACTAATTTATGGTGAGAAAGCAGTCTGGGGGTTGCCTGGGAGTGGGGTAGGGGGTGTGTGATGACGAGGAGCAGGAGGGAAGGGGCATGAGGGGTTTTTGGGGGGTGATGAGTATGTTCACTGTCTTGATCGTGGTAGTGGTTCCATGGGTATTTATATATGTCATAACAAATTGCTCGAAAACTACGATGAAAGCGGTATGTCAAAAGGACTTCAGAGGGCTTCCCTAGTGGCACAGTGATTAAGAATCCGCCTGCCAATGCACAGGTTCGAGCCCTGGTCCGGGAAGATCCCACATGCCACTGAGCGACTAAGCCCGTGCGCCGCAACTACTGAGCCTGCGCTCTAGAGCCCGCGAGCCACAACTACTGAAGCCTGCAAGCCACAACTACTGAAGCCCACGCACCTAGAGTCCGTGCTCTGCAACAAGAGAAGCCACCGCGATGAGAAGCCCGTGCACTGCAAAGAAGAGTAGCCCCCCACTCACTGCAACTAGAGAAAGCCTGTGCACAGCAACAAAGACCCAACTTAGCCAAAAATAAAATAAAAATAAATTAAAAATAAGTAAATTTATATATATAAAACAAAGGACTTCGGAGCTCGAATGGCCAAAGTTGGAACAATTTGATCAACAAAATAAAGTAGTATTGGATTGTAACCCAAAGTATACAATAAATATCCATGAGTCCATTCTGATATAAATAAATGATTGAATTAATAAGTAAAGGGGGGAGAAGATACAAATCTCTTGTAGAGAAGAATTCTAAATAATTTGTGTAGACACCCTGCCCTCAAGGAGGTGGAGCAAAACTCTCCCCTCCTTAAGTGTGGGCTGTGCAGAGTGACTTCCTTCCCAAGGGGACAGTGTGGGAAGGGGGAAGAGGGGTAACTGCAGTGGAGAAACCTGACAGTCACCCCCCAGCCAGGTGGCCAATGTCAACATCAACATTGATCAGTCATATTGATAGTATGTACCCTTGATAGGATGTGATGCAAAAATGGCACTTGACCTCTGCACTCTTTCTCCCCCAAAACCCATAATCCCAGTCTAACTATGAGGAAAACACCCAACAAATCCCGAGAGGGACATTCTACACAATACCTGAGCAGCGCTTCTCCGGACTGTGAAGGTCATCAGAACCAAGGAAAATCTGAGAAACTGTCAAAGCCGAAAGAAACCTAAACAGACATGACAATGTATGTATATGTGTAGCTGATGCACTTTGTTGTGAAGCAGAAACTAACGCACTATTGTAAAGCAATTATACTCCAGTAAAGATGTTAAAAAACAAAAAGAGAGACATGACAACTAAATGTAATATGGGATCTTGGAACAGGAAAAAGGGCATTATGTACAAACCAAGGAAGTCTGAATAAAGCATGGACTTTGGTTAATAAAGTATCATTGATGGTTTGTTAATTGTAACAAATGTATCAAACTAATATGTTAATAATACAGGAAACTGAGTGCAGAGTATATGGGAACACTTTTCACAATTTTTCTGTAACTCTAAAACTATTTTAAAATTAAAAGTTTATTTTTAAAAACTTGTCAAATTGTGTACTTTGAACATGCTTAGTTTATATTGCTTGTCTCGTATTTGTGGGAAGATTTGTTAATGATTGATTCGATTTCTGTCGTGGCTATAGGGCAGCTCAGATTGAATCCATTTGGGTAAATTACAATTTACTGGGAAATTTCCCATTTCATTACCCGTAACATTTACCTATCC